ACTTCTGTGTTGGACTGAACTTTGATTTCAAGACTTCTTACAGCTGTTAAACTGATAAAATTGTGTGTACTCCCAGAATCTATTAGGCCTCGTAAATGATAATTGTGAAGACAACCTCCACTTGCATGGTGTGTGCCCCTTTTTGACCTGTGACTGCATATAGAGAGATTCCCAGTTCTCCTTCAAAATTGGCTACTAGTTCTACTTCATCTGAATCTGCCAACTCAAGCTAGAAAAGCTTTTTACATTGATGACCTATGGAGTATGCCTCATCATAATTGTAGAACAGGCCCTTTGCTCTTCGTCGCCCTGCCATCTCTGCTCTTGATAATTTTTTGGTAAATGGAGTGTTCTAGGACTTGACTTTTGTTGCTCCTCCACTAACAATAGTGATTGTTCTTTTGGGTGATGAGGTTGTTGCGGAAAGCATATTAGAGGGGGTGCTGGGCCTATTGCTTGACCATAATTCTCTCTTCGGCTCTGTTTTTTTCAGAATCCGTTGTTTGGATTTAAAAACTCTTGCTAAATTCATAGCATGAGCCAAATCAGATGGAATGTGGAGCTCTACATCCAACCAAATTGAATGCAATGAACAAACTTATATGTTGATCAACCCGTACGAACCTATTTACTCTTGCTAGTTTTTCTTAGAATTGTCTTTGATAGTCCTTTACTGACTTTGTTTGTTTCAAGTTTACAAATTCTCCCAATGGGTTACTACTTGCTGGCGGCCCGAACCTCAATGAACAATAGTTTTTGAACTAGTCTAATTGATCGTAGGTTGTTTAGATTCTAACTGGTGGTACCACAGCTGCGCCTCTCCGAGTATATGGAAAGCAACCAATCCCACCTTATTCCCTTCCGGCATGTGTTGATTGGTAAAAAATTTCTTGCACCGGTGTAAACAGATTAGGGGATCTTAAGAGCCATCAAACGTTGGAAAATCTAACTTGGTGTAGCGTGGAATAACTTAATTACCTGGTGGATTATTTGCATCATGTGTTTGACTACTAGCTTGAAGCGCTTGAGGTGGTTGTTCCCGTAGGTGTAAACAGATTAGGGGATCTTAAGAGCCATCAAACGTTGGAAAATCTAATTTGGTATAGCGTGGAATAACTTAGTTACCTAGTGGATTATTTGCATCATGTGTCTGACTACTAACTTGAAACGCTTGAGGTGGTTGTTCCCGTAGGTGGTTGTTGCTTGCAGTCCCTTCTGACTCTGTTTGTCTGCCACAATTTAAGCTGACTAGTATTTCTTTGAATTGTTGTGAGGATAGCTCTTGCAATTAATTGCTCAATCGCCTTTCAATCTCTGCATTCCGTGCCTTGTTTGTTGCTAATCACAGATTTTTTTTTGTTGCAGAGTCTGTTATGTTTTTGAGACCAGGACCTTGTCATTGGGCGGTTCACCGGATAACTTACTTCTGGATCTTGCTTTTTTCCCTTGTTATGATTTCTTGAGCGATCTATTGTGAATTATTTCCAAACTCATTAAAGAGAGTTTGACACATTGGACCTCATTATAGAGAGCTCCGATCTCTATATTGTAATTATAATTCTGTTTACCTCTTTATTAATTTTAGAGCCATTTAAATAGGAATAGGTGCATTATATTATAAGAAACTTTTTTTATTTAGGTTTCTCATAACAAAAATAAAGAAGGCTCCTAATTAGGAGATAATTCTCCAAAATACAAATTAAGTTCCTAAATAAAAGATAAATTTTTCTAACTAATAAATAGGTTTCTAATCTTGGATAAACTTAAATCATATCAGCTCCTTATTTGTCTTTTCTGTGATAAGAACGGCCCACAAAAGAGTTTATAACATCAACCTAACCCAAGCTTGAGACCTTAAAAAAGGTTAACTTTTTTGGCCCTTAAAAGAAAACGGTTGAATGATAGAGGGCTTTGGAATTGGTAATTCATGTATTTCTCCGGACAATGTTGCCTATATTAAGGGCCTTCTTGTGCAAGGGATTATTTTTTATTTTATCTTTGTACAGGTTGTGTCATACTTTTTGGTGTTTATAAGAGTTTTGTAATGAAATTGGGTGGGACTAGGCTTACTAGTAGGAGAGGTTCAATAAATATATTTGGGATTTTGAAGTTAGAGATGCTCCTTAGTCTCATGCACAATTCACTTGTTCTATCTCTTGGGACAGGGTTTTGTCTTACTGAATCTATTGGTATTTAGTCTCAAATACTTGTGATGAGATTCTTTGCAAAGTCCTAGCCATCTTATCTTTGATCATTCCCTATTGTTTCAGAGTCTAGTCATTTGCTTTTGGGTCTTACCCCTTTTTGCTTCAAGAATACATGGATTTTATCATCCTTATTTTCTTAAAGTTGTGAAGGGTGATTGCAGGATGATTTTTTAGAGGAAGGATGAGAAGGTTATAATTAATTAAGAAACTTAGGCATCATTTGGTGCATAAAAACCATTTTATAGTTATCATTTTCTAAATTCATATATAAATGTGTATATCTATACACAGATAAGCTACTAAAAATAAAAGCA